TTTTTGTTCTGTTTGAGTTATTGAAGTCATTATGTGTTGTTGCAGTAGTTAAAAAATGCTACTGTTGTTCCAACCTGATTGTTGTTCGCCCTAAACGAAAACTTTTCCTGTTAGTCCAGTTTTCGCTCTTACGTGGGGGTATTGTAGCATTTTAAATTTGATTGATTCTTTGAAGTATATTTAAAGTCGCCTCGTATATGAAATCGTCTTAATAAAACGAAGAATGTTTTCTGTTTTTTAGTTCGTATCTTTCGAAAAGTGTTTTCAATCATTCTAACGTCGTAGAGTAATAAATCCATTTAATTGTTGTTTATTTTACTGCGGCGATTTCTTTTCATGTAAATGCGTTTCAAAGGATATCTACGTCGTTCGTTGGTTTTGCTATTTCAGCAGTTCGTTGATTTTCAAGTTAAGCGAACAAATTTTTAATTTCGTCACTATCGGTGGAGCCGCTGTCAAGGGCAGTTGGTTTCGTTTGTTTAGTCCGAATTTTCATCAAATTCGTAATGTTTTTTTTTGTTATTAGTTTTTTTCATCAGAAGTATTGAAGTTTGGTAGCATGTGTAGTTACAATTTGAGGTTGGTTTATGATATTGACGGAAAAGTGCTTGGGTGGTATTCTTCAAGGAACCGGCAAATTTATATGTGGAGAAGTGAATATTATACTCAAATGTAATGTGTCAGTTTTTGTCTGAGTTAATCACCGATTTGGGTCGTGCTGTGTTTTGAAGAGCTTTGTGTTTTGAGAAGTTTTGAAAAGCCAAGCTTTGAAGATTGCAGTTTAATTAACCCGAAGTCCGATGGTCCAGTGCCCAGCTTTCATCGTATATTTGTTGTCCCTGGTCATTCCAGACCATTTTGCAGCTTGTGAGAAGCATTTGTTTGTTTTGCAGTGTTTTTGAGTAAAGTTCCAGCCCCAAAACTTTTAAAGGAGATATAATATTCAGTGATATCAGGTACTCTTTTTTTTTCGTAAACATTTTTTAAAGTAAATATTTAAATAGTTACCGCTACAAAATGTCGCGCAAATAGGGTCCCCAACGCCCAGAGTTGTAAACCGAAAGCGCCATTGTAAGTCGTTTTTTTTTGTATTTTGTTAGTATTATTTGTATTTGTAACTGTTTGTGGTACACATAATTAAAGGTTAAATTTTATTTTCTTAACTTTTTATTTATTTTTTTTAAGCTAACCCTTTTTGAGTTTATTTGAAAAAGATATGTTTTGATTTTATTTTCTAATTATTTCCCTAGTTACAACTAGTGGTTGTAATAGGCATAATTAGGCACCTCAAGTGGCGCCCTATATTAAATTCCTTGAGGTGTTTCTTGTTTAATTTTTATTTTGTTTATCCCAAGAGCCCTTTATTTCTTTTTGTTGTAGTTGCCCAATTCTAACCCCCATTTTACTTATCCACGACCCCAGCTCTCCTACGAAACCCTGAGTGTCCGTTCGCATCAGTAGCGATTATTTTGCTTGCCCTATCTCCACCCCCAATAGTTTCTTCCCCCAATTTTCTACCTTATATTAATGCCCCTGTGGTAGGCAAAATATTATCGTTACAATCTGTGTTGATGTCAAGTCCCATTTGAATGCACTCACTATTATTCACTAGTTATTGCATCTAGTAAAATTTGTAGTTCTTCTATATACTCAGCCATTTCATCTGCAAATCTTATGGTGTTTACGATTTCTCCGTCAATTCTTAATCCCTCTTTTCTTTCCCATTAGGCTCTTCTGAATATGGCATGTGAGTACACGTTGAAAAGCGTCGGATACAAGACGCATCCTTTCCTGACCCCTCTCGCAATCGGTATTTTATTTGTTTCTATATCGTTCACCTTTACTATTGCCACTACTGAACTTTCTGATTCCAGTATATAGCTTTAATAAACTTAATGTCTTTTTTGTCTAAATTATGTGCTGCAACTTCATATACTGCACTCGGTCAAAGACCTTCCTAAAGTCTATGAAGTATACATATGCACTCTTGTTATATTTCCGACATTTTTGCAAGAGTACCGTCAACGCAAATAATGCCTCTCTTGTACCCATGCCTCTTCTGAAGCCAAACTGCGTTTGATCTATCTACTCCTCAAGAGAATCTTTACAGGGTGGCACATTAGGCTTATAAATCTATAGTCATTACATGATTTGAGATTGTTGTTTTTTGGTAGAGATAAAAATATCGATTTAAGCCATTCCTCCGAGATATTGCCCTAATATATGTGGTTGAGAATTCGGGTTAGTCTCTTTATATTACCGTCATCTAAATCTTCTAACAGTTCAACTGGAATTTGATCAGGACCCGGTGATTTTCCTTGTTTCGGCTTCTGTAGGGCATGCTTACATCTTGTTCATTTTTCGTCTCGTCATGAAACAGATGTATTATATGTTGTTCTCATACTTCCTTTATTTTGCTCTCTTCAGTAAGTATTCCTTCAATATTATCTCTTGTTATGAGTGTTCTTCTTTGTCTGGTGTTGCCTGTAAGTTCTTTAATTTTTTTATGCAAGTTTGAGGTATCATGTTTGTTGTTGAGTTCTTCCAATTCCTGGCATTCCTTGTCCATCCATTCCTCCATAGCCTCTCTGATTTCATACTTGATTATATTCTTGATGGTTTTATATTTCAAAAGTTTTTATTAAAAATCTTTTATAAAAGGTATATAAATTAAAAACCCAATCGGATTATATCACAAAACGTTTTCGGAATCCATATTCCATGCCTCCTCTGAAGCCAAACTGCGTTTGATACATCTATCCCTTAAAAGAATCATGTGTCTATTTATAGATGGAAAATAATCAATATAATCATGTGTCTTTTAGGTTTTTAATGTTTATTTTGGTTGTTTTAACTTTTTTCTCCAGTTTTCTGAGTTTAATGTTTACGTTTGCTAGTAATAGATTATGGTCCGTATCTTCATCTGCGCTTGGATAGGTTTTTGCACTTTGTACTTCATTATGAAACCTTTTTTTTATCGGTATAAAATCTATTTGGTTTCTGATTATATACTTGGTGTTATCTTTTGGGGAAATCCACTTCTGCTTCATAAAGTATTCGCATATTCCACGTTGTTATGGGTTTAAATCGCTTTCACTAATTTTTTTTCCACCCGGAGATTCTTTGCACTCCTGTCCCATAAAAGGGACGCCGGGCACTCGGGCCACTGTTTTATTGACGTCCATTTGTGGTTGTTCTTAAGAAATCCTTAGGGATCTTTATTGCAGTGGTTTCTCCTTGCCTTCTGCATCTGAATGCCATTGATCTTGGTTCCTCCTCCTTTGAGATCAATTTCTCAATTTTAGGACAAAAGAGTGCCCTCCCACTTACCAACTCATCCGCCCGAAGCCGTTGGTCAGTAAGTGAAGGTCCGCAGTGTCACAACCGGTTAAATCATAATTACCGTTTGTGATTATTCAGTATGGGACCGTTAAAGAGATTTTCTCTACCGCTTCGATCCTGTAATGACATAGTTGCTGCCCTATGCCATGTTTTCAGTTGATCTGCGGGTGTTTATTTGGCAAAGCCTTATTCACACCTACCCCATATCTATAGGACGTTCCCTATCAGCCATTGGGACGCGCCGTGTTGAGGTTGAGAACTACCCCCTCCGAGTGTGTTTCCCAAAAAGTACTGAAGAGCCCCTACTCAATTCAGAGCCCCTCCTTCTTGGAAACTACACCGGCACGGTTAAAAGTTGGATGAATAACAATATACCGCAACTCACGGAAGAAAGAAGAAAATCTTTGAGATTGAGATGTACATAACAGACGAATGCACAGATTTCCATGGGTACAAAGAGTTACTAATGTTAAGGTACTTTGTCGAATGTGTAAATAAGAAGAATTACTAAGAATAATCAAAGAGAGGAAAATGCAATACTTGGGTCATGTGTTAAGAGGCGAAAAATATGAATTACTTCAAGTTATACTGAAGGAAAAGTACAGGGCAAAAGATCAGTAGGAAGACGCCAGAACTCATGGCTGAGAAGACCTGAGGAGATGGTTCGACCGCTCATCCGCAGAAATCTTTCGCGCAGCAGTTTCCAAAACCACAATTGCCATTTGGATCGCCAACCTTTGAAAGGAGACGGCATCATGAGAAGAAGAACAAAATAATATACAAAGATATTCAAGGACAAATAAGAACCAAAATACGAAAGGTCAAAGAAAATAATTAAAAACACAGTGTGAACAAATAGAGTTGTTGGAACAAAAACACGATACATTTATTATGCATAAAAAGGTAAATCAAACAGCTTTAAAAATTAAACACAGCTAGCAAACTGCAATATCAATAGGGAGAACACAGATAAAAATTAAGAAATATGCATATGGTCCAAATCTTTGTTGATAATAGGTCTCAACAACCTCCGTCCTACATATGTAATGACCATTTACCAATCACACCAGTACTTACAATGCTTATCCTGAACTCATAAAGCTATTTAACACCGACAGTAGTACTCAAAGACTAACAAAAACATTCAATGACATATTTATTGCTCTACCAAAGAAAACAAAATCAGAATCCTGCAATGATTTCTGGACCATCAGGTTGAATAAGTCAAATTTTAAAGTTATTTCTAAAATCCATACATTAAAGAATATTTATGAATGCTTCATTGATTATCATAAAGCATTTTATAAAGTACACGACAAGCTAATTTTATTGGAGATAGAGATATTAACGAATATTGGAATAAACAGCTGTGATCTAAGAATTATTTGCAATCTTTACTATAATTAGACATCGTCTATCCGTACAGAGGCGGGAGAATCCGACGATATAAAAATCAAACGTGGGGTCCGACAGGAATGTATACTATCACCCTTGCTGTTTAACATATACTCTGAGGAAATCTTGAATTCTTGTAGCCTGAATTGGAATTGACGGAGAATGTATCAATAACCTACACTGTGATCTTAGCCGAAAACATTGAAGATATTCAGAGACTGGTGACCAGAACAGCAGAGTATGGAAAAGAATATGGTCTAACAATGAATGTCAAGAAGACGAAATTTATGAGAATATCGAAAATTCAAAAAAATAACGAGAATCTTCTAATAAACAGAAACAACGTCGAAAAAGTGGACAAATATGCATATCTGGGAACAATAATTAACTCCACAAATGATTACAATCAGAAGATCAAAATAAGAATAGAAAAGGCTAGAGCAAATTTCAACAAAATGACAAGAGTGCTATGTACCAGGGATTTAAAACTGGAACTAAGAGTTAGGTTTGCGAGGTGATATGTTTTTTCGACTTTATTTTATGGAATGGAATCTTGGACTTTGAATGCAACATCAATGAAAAAATTGAAATCATTCGAGCTGTGGGTGTACAGAAGAATATTGAAAGTATCGTGGACAAAACACGTCACAAACAAAGAAGTTCAATTAATTACTGTTAAACTGGGAATAAGCCACAATTAAAGATAAAAATACGTTTATTGACGTTTCAATTTTCAGTAATAATTTATAATAATAATAATAATTTTTAGTAAGTCAGTAACATATAGAGGATACATCATTTATGTTTTTTAAATAACGTAACATATAAAATCAGAATTTTGATGTTTGTTGAAGGTAAACTAAATTCACGAACAAATACTTACAATGTCGGGATAGTATTATGAGGTTTTTTTCCTGGTTTTTCTCTAGACATGAACCGAACAAGTACATCTGTATCCTGTCTGTTTTGCTATTAATTTTTGATTTTGATTTTCATTGCAGTAATGATATTTTTTCCTATATAAAACTAGCTCGATGGCCAATATATAAGCAAAAAAATCTGTGGCGAACTTCACGAGCACTGAGATCTAATACTGATCATTTTACAATATTTTATTTTATTTATGAGAAATATTTTGTCAAGTTTCCATTTCTGTTTTATTTTGAGTGTTTGTTTAAAAATAAATAAATAAGCAAAGCAATACATTTGCTAAAGATGTAAAAATGACAAATACTTTGATAAAATATTAGTTTCGACAGTTTAGTGTTTAATAAATCAATAATACATTGCTAAACGTAAATATGCCGTTTGTCGCCCTTTAATCGTGGAAGTGCGCTCTCTCTTGGAATAACCTCATTAAAGATAACGGCTTGCCAAACTAGAAGGCTGTAAAGATATTTGGTGTATATCGACACGAAAAGCTTGTATAAAAATAGGTCAGAGCAAAATAGGAAACTTTGGCGGTATGTCAAGAGCCAATTTATCTATCCACAAAAGGTCTTTATGATATTTCTCTGAGGAAATGGAAATTTCCTGAGCGGGTAGAGGGTAACAAAACGTCGTATAGTATACAATAACAATTTATAATATGAACTCGAAAAAGAGATTGCTAGATATAGGGAAAAGCAGTTGATAAAAATCCCTAGTAGGCTCAAATAAATACCGAGATTTAAAAAAAAAGCGATAAAGAATAAGTTTTACATGGGTAACATTTCACGTTACATACAGAGTAATTTTTTAGTGAGTGAGAGTATAATAATACCTTAAGAAGATCAAAAAAATATTTTATCGACAACCGTCATTCAAGTCATTCACTATTGTACTTATTTGTGGCAGTACAATAACAGTTTATTGTACTGAAAGAAGAAAAACTTTATCTGCCGAAAATATTAATCAAGTTGACTGAAATTTAATGTCAGTAGTTTTTGGATATTTTTTAGCCTTAATAGCAATACAAATAAATAAGTGAGTAAATAAGTAATATGCTTTATTGTCACTGAAAATTGGACAAATATTATGGACACAGCTTATAACAATAAGACAAGAAAGAAGAAAAAAATCAGAATAAGAATCGTTTGTACTTTAAATAATAAAAAACAATAAAATTCTTCCAAACTTAAACATAAAAAATACTACCTAATTAATAACCTACAAAATAAAAATTAGGAAAGCAGATTAATGAATTAAGGGCTCAAATATTCCACCTCCTTGTGCTAAACAGTAACCAAATCTGTCATACAAATTTCTCCTCATATTTTGGAGTAGGGCTGGTGTAATGCTTGCAGAGAAATGAAGTATTTTTGCCATCAATTCGACTAGGTTTGTGGCCCTTTCAAACTGATGGCTATAAATGTTTTCTTTGAGAAAACCCCAAAAAAAGAAATCGTTAGGCGCTAATTCACAGGATCTCTCGGTCCATTTAATTGTACCACGTGTATTTATCAGTCGATCAGGACCCGTTTGATTAAGGAAGTCAATAGTTGCTCTAGAGTTGTGAGCCAAACACCCATCCTGTTAGAAATAAACCTCCTGAAAATTAACGGGAAGTCGTCGAACTGCCGGAATGATCTCATTCTGTAAAAGTTGTAAATATTTGGGCCCGTTTAGGTTTCCATCGATAAAAAATGGACCGAAAATATGGTCGCCTAACATCCCAGTCCAAACATTTAACTTTTGCTGATGCTGCGTTCGCACTGCAACACTGAGGTGCTTATTTTTCCGAGAATAATACCTTGCAACGGATAAATTGTGTTTTTATGTAATGAAAATGAAGATTCGTCAGAAAATAAAATATTTTTTAAAAAGTGTACATTTTCATTCTGTTTATCTAACATAAATTTATAAAACTCCATCCGCCTAAAGTTATCTTCCGGAAACAGTTCTTGTGTTGGTTGTATTTTAAAACAGTGATACCCATTCCTTTTGAGAACTCGCTAGACAGTTCGAGCATTCACGTTAACTTCCCTAGCAATTTGTACACTATTGCAGGTTTCACTAGCTTCTACAAAAGCACAAATATCAATATCCCTATTTTGACGCTCCTCATCGACAGGTCTAACACGTGGTTCATTACCTTCATGACACTTTTTACAACTGTTTATGCATCCCGAAGTTTGAAAATGTTTAATGGCATTTTTAACTGTTGTAACACTTGGTGGGGTCTATTTTCGAAGGTAACAATAAATAAATCAATTACTTTGGGTATCGAATGACCCTGAAAGTGTCATGTTACAAGTTGCATTTTTTCTAGGACGGTATACAACGTAACAGGCATTTTATTAACTATTTGTTTATTCTTTCATAACTTCGTTTAAAATTTTTGATGTCAGTGTGATAATTACGAAGATTCGTACCTACTATAGATAAATAATATAATAGTAGAAATATATAGGCAGTTCAATGTATATTGAGTTCAATTTCGTTCATTAGGACCCCTTGCGGCTAGTGTCATTACTAATCATCTATTGGCGGGAAATTCAAATGGAAACACCCTTACTAAAGTTTGCCCTGTAAATTAACTGAACAATATCTCACTATTTTCCGATGAAATAATCTCACATATAATAAATTTTCTCAAATATATTTATTTGTTAAGATAAAACAGTTTTAAACTAATTACATAATATTTATTACACATATTTTTAGAAACAAATATTTCTAGTTCACGAACTTCAGGGTTAAGATAATTATATACAAAATAATGTAGCAAAGAGCAGACATCATCACTCCCTTTTTTTCCAACTGTTTCGGGATAAATGTAAAATATGCTTTGTGATGTAGACAAAACATGGATATTGAATGCATATGTAGACAACTGCCTTTTATAATAGACGTCACTCGTACTAATATTCGGAACCGGAAGATTTTTTGCAAAATCGATGCAGATTGCTTCCGTGGAAATCAACTTCTGGCTACGTGTTCTTGCGTCCCTCTTTCTTTTATAAAATTGTTCTGCTTTGTTTTGATTTGATAAGGTTTTTTTTTCACTGCTTCTCACACCGTACTCGCTTTTTACCTTTTGCTACACCAGTATTTTCTACTGTAATTTCATCATCAGAATCTGTATCCGAGTATGGAACCAATGATGGTAGAGTATTCTTGGTAGGCTGTTGAATGGGATCCGCATGAATTTCGGAGTCAGAATCACTTGGAATAAAGTCCGGATCTGCATCTGAATTATAATCTTCATTTGTTTCACTGCATCCTATAGGAACCACGTCAATTTTCTTCTTTACCAACCAGTAATTCAGACAAACCATCAGTATTACCTGTATTGCAAGAGAATATTTCTTCTTCCATCTGTGAAGTTGTATCTTCATTGGGCAGTGCATTTAGTGACACAGTTTGTAGTTTATAATAAGTACTGCCATCACTATTATGATAAATATTTCCATCACATCTACGGTTACTATTTTTTGTAACATCTTTCCTCTCCACAGATGATTGTGAAGGAAATATATGATTTCCAGCAGCAGACAAAAGTTGATTGACATCACCTAAAAAAATCAAATAAAACAAATGAAACAACGAAACAATACAATAATTCACCATGTTTAGTTTTTTTACTAGCACAACACAAAAATTCTTTGCTACTACTAATAGGTACTAATAGGTTCTTTGCTACTAATAGGTTACTCAAACTAAACTTTAAAAACTAAGTAACCAACTTAAATTAAAATTACTAAGAATAAATGCAAACGAAAGTTAAAGCTAATAAAATAAAACTGAAAACTTATAAACAAACGGAAGATCTGTCATTACTTTTGACAGAATTGACATTGCGGAATTAAGCTTCGTTTAATTATTTTATTGATATCTCGAGACTGTGTTAAAATAAATGATTGATTAAGTCTTCGAGAGAGATAGGCAGTCATTTCTCTTTATTAACTGCCTAGGGTCAAAGTGATGTGGGAATAATCCAAGGTCATGCACATAAGTTTCGTTTCCGGAGCATGGTACCTAATGTAAAATGGATATAGAGGTGGAAATGTATAATATGTCACAGCGATTGCCACTGTGTTGTATACTTAATAAAATAATGCCACGATCTGTACGTTTTTATCGTATGTATGAAGAAAGTATGTATGAAGAATGTACGTATCAAGAAACCACCTTTAATTTATTTAGAGCCGCCGTGAATAAGGTTATTATTGCCAATATAATCGCCAACGTTCGATAATCGGACAGGGCACTGAAAGAAGAAGATGAAGAAAGTAAGCTTCCTTTATTTATAAAAAAATAAAAATATGTTAAAAAAAAATGTTTTGATAATTTATTTTACAATCGCTGAGTTGTGCCAAACGTCTTCTTCTTCATGTGCTATCTCCGCGACGGAGGTTGGAAATCATCGTGGCTATTTTGATCTTAGATGCTGCTGCTCTGAATAGTTCAATTGATGTGCATCCGTACCATTCCCTCAAGTTACGCAACCATCAGATTATTCTTCTTCCTACACTTCTCTTGCCCTTGATTTTCCCTTGTATAATCAATTGAAGTAGGTTGTATCTCTCATTACGCATAACATACCCACATACCATAACGTGCCAAACGTAGTCAACTTACAATTTTTGTAAGGAAGGCTATTGTTCTAAGAAATGCAATATT